AGCAGCAGCAGCAGCAGCAGCAGCAAGGGGCTGGAGAGCCCGACCAGCAGCAGCTGGTGCGTTCGCGTAGTGCAGCGGCAGCGGGGCGACACGTGGCAGCTGCGAATGGTGAGCAGCAGAAGTTTCGGTTTGCTGCTGCGCTGCTGCTGCTGTGGCTGCTGCGGCTCTGCCCGTGTCTCTCCTTTTGCGTCTCTTTCTCTCTTTTTGCTTCTGCTGCTGTTCTTTTGCTGCTGTCTTCTTTTTACTCTCTTTTGTCCCTTTTTTCTTTAATTTGCTGCTCTTCGTGTCTTTCTTTTTTCTTTTTTTGCTTCTTTTTGTCATTTTTTCCCTTTTGCTGCTCCGTGTCACTTTGCTGCTGCTGCAGGCAGCAGCGCTGCTGACTCGAGGCTTCGAGCAGCTCATAGAGGAAACAAAAAGGGATGCAGCAAATGCTCTCGTGGACTTCTTGCTTATTTACGACTCGCAGCAGCACAGGGTAACGTCTGTGCTGCTGATGCTCTTGCTGCTGGTGCTGTTCCTGCTGCTGCTGCTGCTTCTGCCGCAGCTGCGGATGCCGTTGCTGCTAGTGCGGCTGCAGCTACTGCCGCGGTTGCTGCTTTCGCCGCCGCTCGTGCTGTTGCTTCGCTGCTGTTGCTGTGCTGCTTCTTCTGCTGCTGCCGCTGCTGCTGCTGCTGCAGTTGCTGCTAGTAGCACTGCCGTTTATGGGGTGCCTCCTGCTGAGACAGCCCAGGAGCATCGGCTGCCTTCGCCGCTGCTGCGCTCGCTGCTGCAGCAGCTGCTGCTGCTGCCGCTGTAGCCGCGGCGCCGCTGTACCTGCTGCTGCTGCTGCTGCTGCTGCCTCAGGATGCTGCGCTGGCCACGCTGCAGGGCCTGCGCCCCCCAGTGCCCTTGTCCTTCGTGGTGGCTGCGGACTCGGAGAGGCGCAGAGAGCTGCGGCAGCTCTATGACATTTTCCTCGAACCCACTTTCGCTGTGCAGGCAGATGAAGTCCGCACGCGCTGCTGCTGCTGCTGCTGCTGCTGTTGCTGCTTTGGTTTTGCTGCTTGGTTTGCTGCTGCTGTTGTTGTGTGCTCGTGTTGCTGCTGCTGCTGTTGGAGGTTTGCTGCTCTGGGTGCTGCTGCTGTTAACGGTTTTGCGGCGTGTGCTGCTGCCGCTGCTGTTGGAGCTCTACTGCTTGTGTTGTCGCTGCTGCTGTCGGTGTTGCTGGTTGTGCTACTGCGCTGCTGCTGCCGCTCGTTTCGCGGCTTTTCTGCTGCTGCCGCTGCTGGATTTGCTGCTGCTGCTGTCGTTGGGGCTGAAGGTGGTTTTGCTGCTGCTGCTGTTGTCTTTCCTGCTGCTGCTCCGGTGTTGCTGCTGCTGACTTGGCGTCGCTGCAGCTGCTGCCTTGTCTGCTGCGCTGCTGCTGCGTTGCTCAGAAAGTGGTGCGGGTCCGCGACGCAGTAATCAACATATTTACCTTTCCGCAGCTGTACATAATGGTGAGTTTTGTTTCTTTTTCTAATTTCGTTCTTCTTTTTCCTTTTTTTAATCTTTTTTCTGTTTCCAAATCCCTTTTGCATTGCAAGAGGCACCCAGTGACCCACTCAGGGGGCCCCACACTGCCTAGGGGGCCCCCTGGTGAGGCTAGGCGTTTTGGGGTCCGCTGCAACTGCCCTTGCTGCTGCTGCTGCTGCGCTACTGCTGCTGCTGCAGCTCAACTGTCTCCTGACGTGGGACTTGCGGCTGCTGTGTCTCTCCAACTTCCTCCTTTGGGTCTGCGGCTACTCCAGCGATGTCGCCTCTGTAAGCTGCAGGGTGTTGCTGCTGCTGCTGCGCCTGCTGCTGCTGCTGCTACGCGTGCTGCTGCTGCTGCTGCAGTTGGCAATGTCAGCAGTACTTGCCACTCTTCGAGCTCTTGTGGCCGGCCTGTTGTAGCCAGCGGCCTCGCTGGGTGGCTAGCCAGCTAGCTAGCTGCATTAGGACTGCAAGGCGCTGCTGCTGCTGCTTTGCTGCTGCTGCTGCTGCTGCTGCTCAGTGGTTTTCTGACCCCGCAGACCCCGAAGCTGTGTCTTATTTGCTGAACTTGGCCCACACCTTCTATGACCGGCTGGGAGCAGCAGCAGCAGACACGGGAGCCCGCGAGCTGCCTGCAGATGACATGGCTTTGCTGCAGAAGAATCGGCTGCTGCTGCAGCTCTACATGGCCCAGGACCAGAAGGACACAAACCCCGCTGCAGCAGCAGCAGCTGCTGCTGCTGTAGCGAGCCAAGACTCCGCAGTGGGGACAGCCGCACCGGCCGGCAGCCCTGGAGCAGCAGCAGCAGCAGCAGCAGCAGCCGCAGCTGGCACGCCGCGCCCGGCGGGAGCAGGGCCACCTGTCTGTGGGGGCCCGTTGGAGCCGTCTCCGCTGGGGGCCCCCACCCCAGGGTCCCCTCCTGCTGCTGCTCCTGCTGCTGCTCCTGCTGCTGCTGGGGGCTATAAAGAAGAGCTGCTGCAGGTCACGGGGGTGGGCCTTGTGGACTTCACATTGCCTGATGGTGTAAAGTTTGACAAGAGCAAATTGGCATTTCGTTGTCTTTGGAGGGAGGGCACTGCTCCCTGCCGGCAGCAGCAGCAGCAGCAGCAGCAGCAGCA